CTGAATAGCTGCCATATGGAAGATGGGGAAACATTAAGGTCCCTGTTTTTCTACAGAACATATAGTTTTATAGAAAAATAGGTCTGTAAGGGACCTTGAAAGAGCACATAGTCCAGCCCCTTCTTCAAGGCAGGGTCTGCCTTAAAAAGTCTGCTTTAGAGCAGTAGTAAGAGGTGGAAGAGAGAGTGAAAACACCTTTATGAAGAATGGAACATTTTCACAAAAGTTCAGCTCCCACTAAAACATCTAATTGAAACATCCAGATTTTTAAGATATCTTCACGTGATTTGGATAATCTGGCCATTTACCTGAATGGGAGCAGTTGGATTCTGAGTTAACCTGGCTGGTTGACTTCTGAGTTGGTTTCTTGCTAGTTCACTCCTTATCTGCTCACCCCCAGCAGCCTGCCTAGAGCAGAGGCTCCTCAGGTTTCAGGCTGCAGCTGCCAGAGAGCCCTTAGTCTCTGCAGCAGCCCATTTAGAAGACTGTCCAAGAGACTGGGTTCCCTGAGCTCCTAAATTTAGTGGCTCAGTTCTTCAGCAGCCCAGAGATCTTGGACTGCACGTTTTACAAAACAAACATTTCGGAAATCTGAGATTGTTTTCCCCATGGAACAAAAACCTCAGGTCCCACATATTGCTGAACAGCAACTTTCTCCCAGTCCTGATTTGCAAGGTCTGTGCCAGGACAGAGCACCTTCATCCCTCCTAACAACTGAAGCTAAAGTTTAAAGCTAGATCCAATAAGGGACTCAGATGCCTGTAAATTAGATGCTGCAATGCAGAACTTTCAAATGTCTGGCTCCTGGAGCAGAACCCCTGTGTTAGCCCCTATGGCTGCATCAACATGAGTGCACACATGAATTTTGAGGCATCTCAAAGGCTTGAGGCACCGCAAAAATGCACCCTGCGTATATGATTTGGTTTAAATACTGAGAAATCCTGGTGTATAAGTGAACAGAAATAAAGTGGGGTGGAGTACGCGGCAGCAGCATGTGCTGCTCGAAACATACCCAACACCCACGTAACGCTGCTGGGGCCAGCCCAGGTGCTAGGCCCAGCCTCCTCTACCCCACCAGGAGCATGTTTCCCCTTGCTAACCCCACATGCAGGGGTGTGCACCGGGGCAAAAGGCAGCAGCATGAATTTGTACCACTGTTTTTTTCCCTGCAGCAACCACATGCCCCTGCTCATAGAGATGTAGCCTAGGGAGCCACATATGCTCCCCATACAATGCATGGAGGAGAATCAGGTGCTGGCTGTTTCAGATCCCATTCAAAGCAGAAAGCTGCCTAGAACCAGGCAACACAAAACACTGGGGACAAAGACATGTCTTAATCCCAGCCCTCTCTGGGAGGTAGGCACCTACAACCCTTTCTTTCAAAGAATTGGGCAAGGTTCCTGGTTGCCTTCTTCTTTTAACAAGTAGTGGGGAAACTTTTTGGCAGTTGTGCCACTACTTAAGCCTCCCAATGCGCCACCCACCCACCCCACCCCAGTCTCTGAAATACCACTCTGATCCCCCCAGAAATACAAGGGAAAAGTTACCAGTATTATACAAGAGTCATTCTTGTTATGCCCTTTATGGAATCCATAGTTAGACATATTACACTGACCAAATGGCAGCTCATAGAACCAGGAAAGTTAAGACATTAGGCAAATCCTTTCTCTGCCAATATTCCAGGCTAATGTTTAACTGAATATGCTATAAATTTAACAATGTGTCATTTTAAAGAGTAGACCTCAGCCAAATAAATCAGTCAATGTTACTCAGATATTACTTCCATGACCAGAATACTTCCTCAGGTAGTCAAAAGTTTATATATCTTATATAAACAAACTGTTCTTGATTGTTATTAGCCCCCATCTCTCTGTCCCCATTATCTGACAAAAAATATCAAATAATCACCAAGACAGTTAAAACAATGTGTATCAAATCGAAAAGCTCTGGAATCTAATGATAAAACACTCAAGCTAAGTTATTAAAGGTTTTTCTGTCTCCAAAAAATTACACATTTGAAATGTGGATATAATCTAGCAAATACGTCAAACCTTATTTACTTTAAAAGAATTACACTGGTTATTTATTAGTTTACCAGATGTCCTGACCAGATGGACCTGCTTAGTGCTTGGATAAGAAACTTCCAAGAAACACCTATACAGGATAGGAAGCTGGGTTATACACTAAGTTTATTCAAAGCTGGAGGGAGTCTTCCTGTTGGTCACTAACTTTCTATAATACTAGGGGGCACTGTTTTGCTCTAGGTTTCATCTTGCAATAGATATGTAAAACAACTACTTGTAATCATCAAAAAGTCAAAGGGATATTTTTTTTCATAATAGGGGTGCTCTTGGTAGTTTCCAACAGAAATTCTCTGTGTATTTTAATTCAAATACCATACTCTTTCCTTTTAGTCCCCGAACTAGTGTGTAGCTTTTCTTTGCACTGCTACTTTGAAGTCAGTCACCTTCCACACACAAGTGTTCAGTTACCACTACACAGCTGCAGAAATCTGTTCATAGCAATATTTCGGTAGCCACTTGTAAAATTATCACATTTTAATAGATGGAGAAAAAATCTACAGAGTCAGCTATTATTGTTAACATGTATTATTATAACAAGTATAACTCTCAAACACTGAAAGCTCTAGGAATACCACAATTTGGTTTAAAACCCCCCTTAAACTTTCCATAGCCCAAGACAAGTCCCAGAAGAGTTTGTTCCAGACCAATGCAACAAGCTACATCTAATGTAGGTTTTCTCCTTGTACACAGTTAGGTGAATGTGATGGTGATCTCCCCTGTGGGTGTCTGTCTCTTGCTTTAGTGCAAATCCCCTTCTTCTTCCTCCTAGTGGCCAACAAGGTACCACCATACCTACCCATACTACTGAGGCAGGCACTTGGGAATACGTACAATAATTGACACTACAGACAGCTCACGTACTGCGTCTCAAATCCATCCAGCTCTTTAGCTTAATAGGATGATTCGCTCAATATAGGGTTAAGGATTCAACTATTATTGACTTCTACTTGATTTGAGACTAACAAGGCTGGTCCCTTGACTAGTATTTGCCAACTTTTCAGGATATTCCCAAAAACCTGAGAAACAGCTAAGTCCCGCCACAGCCAATATTTCATTTCCTCTCCCTTCCTGCTGAGAAACATCATCATTCCCCAACTCCCACATGCCCCGTTTAGTTTAAGATAATGCCAAAAGAAACAATTAATAAGGATTCATAAATGTTCTCTTTACATACCCTGCTAACTGTTCAAGGTCTTTCCATCCCTCCTCTATCCCCTTTCCTAAAACCTAGAGGAAAACACTGAGATTAGAATAAAATTTGAAGTGCAACTGCCCCAAAGCTCTTGCCTGGTATCTTAAGAATCACACAACTTTCAGTGCTCTAACAGCTACATCACAGAAAGAGGAAACATAAATGGAAACCTAGAAGAAAATGTATAATTCAGATTGTTTGCCAGCCGTGAAAATCGGATAAGAACTATGAGGAATTTTACAACAATTAGTAACAGAGGGTAATGTCATTTCCATACAGGTGCAGAGAATAAAAGCAACATTAGCCAACTCTGACTGAACTAAATGTCAGATAAACTGACTGGGAAACGGATTTCAAGTAGCAACTTTTTAACACATTCTTCACAAAGAAATTCTGGCACACCCTTAAACAAGAGCAAAGTATCTTTCTTTTCATACTTCTAATGGCAAGGCTAACAGCTATTACAATATCCTTTAGTTCTGAAATAGTTGACATGAGGATGGAGACTGAAGCTCACTGGATTAATACTACCATATGAATGAAATGTTGCAAACAAAACCAAACATATTTTAACAGTGGACAAGCACAAGTGGACATTGGTAACTCCCTCCTTCTACTCACCTTTACCAAAACTGCTAAAAATACCTGTGATAGCCAGCTGCAGACAAAGGGTTAAAATAAATAAGAAGCTCATACCAGAGTACTTTAGTCTATTATGATTAGTTTGTCAGTATTTATGTGCATTTTGCCAGCCCTTCCAGTGGAAGTACTAGAAGAAATACATCATTAGTAGACTTTATCTTAAATGACCACCATAAACTTGTAAGTGAATACAGCTTCCCCTTTGGATCAAAATGGAAAGTATTCATTCAGGCTCATGACCCCCAAGTGCAAAGAAGAATTTTTCCAACTATTTGAGCTGGTCTAATAAAATATATCAGATTTACCCAAAGATCCTTGTCTGCCTTCATTCAGGCTCAAGTCACTTCTCACTAGGAATTAGTTAATTAATTACTATGTACATTTGTTTATTTACTCAGCAGTGAAGTGGTCTGTCTCTGTGAGTACACTGTGCATAAATTTAGGATTAACCTCATCACTTCTATATAAACAATATGAGCAGCTTGGGAACCTGTCTTCCAATCATCTTTTGAACACCACTGCCCAAAAGACATGGCATTGGGGAGGAAGAGAACAGTAACAGCTGATGAGTGTCCTTTACTTTACAAGCTTAAAAAAAAAATCTCCATTCATTCCTCTCAGCAGCTTAACTTAAAACATGCTTCTCAATTTGCCCCGACTTCTGTGCTGCTGGGTTAAGTGAAGGATCCAGGAATTGTTTATAAACAATAACATACTCTACTCCTGCATCTGGCAGCAGATACATAAACTATGCTTTAAAGGCAAAAGATGCCTTTTTCTTGCTGTAGTAAGCACTATCACCTGCCATGTCTTTTAAACGGATGAGCAAAAGGAAAATTGATGCTGGGTCCTGGGAGCAGTCTGGGGAGTTGACACGTGCCAGGTGTCAGGATATCAGGAACGCGCAACTTGGTGGTAGAACCCACAGGCATGGAGCCCTTAGGAAACAACCACAAATTCAACCACAGCAAGACTCTTACCTTGGACCTTTCCTTGACATAGTAGTTGCCCAGCCTGGTGCCACAATACATCACCAGCCTGTCTATCAGGGACAAGAGAAAGTTGATGGCCTCGCACCCTTCCTCCGTGCCTCCGATCCACTTGATCTGGTCTCCCCTCAAGTGCCGCCTGGCGATGCCGTGTCTCTGGCCGGCCAGCTGCCCATCCTGCAGCTCCCCGCTGTAGTGCATCTGCTTCACGCGCTCCAGCACGCAGTCCCCCACCACCTCGCCCAAGAAATTGTCCAGGTAGCAGAAGCCGATGTCGTGCAGGCAGGGCACGATGTAGTCCAAGGCGATCTTCTCCAGGTCGGGGATGGGCAGCCCCCGGCACGCGTGCCACAGCAGGGCACGCGAAGCCATCTTGCCCGGCACGCGGGAGGCCGCGGAGCCGCCGGACCGGTGCCGCCTC